AGAGGCAGGAAGGAGAGCGAAGCCCCCAGGCCCGTCAATGGGGCCTCGGGCCGCCCGCGGAGCTGCCGGCGGAGCCCTATGCAGCAATTAAAAAGCAGGCTCCAGATCTATATTTATTGGCGTGGAGACGGCCGCCGTGTCTGCCGCGGAGCCCGGCAGCTGCTTTCTGAAGGCGCCGAGAAGCATCGTCGGGGGCTTCCAGGGCCGCTCGGCAGGGCCCCCACACGTGGAGGCGCGTGTGCGGGACACGCAAGGTCTGGGTCCCCGTTTGCGAGTGGGGTGTGCAGGGCGAGACAGGTACGACTGTCCTCGTCACAGTGACACGTGCACCCTGAGAACTGGGGTGCAGGGATGGGCTATGGGAACCCGACTTGGGGGGGAGGGAACAGGGCTGGGCTAGCAGGGGGACTTGCAGGGGGATGTGCCAGTCAGAGGGGGAGGGGGGGATGGCCAGAGCCCTGGAGACTGGCCGTGGGGGGGCAGGCAGGGGGCATCTCACAGATCCCAGAGCTGGCCAAGGAGTAAGCACGCGCCCCCCCTAAGCCCCCCAAACCACACTGCCTGTCCCAGCAGAGCCCCCGCCCCCCTGAGCACCCCCTCCTCCAGACTCCCAGACCAAGCGTGGGTTTTTCTGTTTCTTTTCCTTTTTTTTTTTTTAACAAATTAAAACTGTATCTCCCAGCCCTGCAGGCGGGTTTGTGATTTTCTGTGCCAGAATCACTCTAGGGGAGAGAAGCTCCTCCGGGCAGACTCTTTAATAACTTCAGTTCCCCGGGACTCGAATGCAGCTTGGAGGGGACACACGTGGGCTGGGGACTGCCCAGCTCTGCAGCGGCCGCGCCCCCAGGAAGCTCCCGCCAGCCACCTGACCGGGAGTCAAGGAAGGAGCCGGGCATTGCCTGCTGGTGCCTGGCACTCCTGGTAGCCTCAGTTCCCCCCCCCCCGTGGAAAACAAAAGCCTGCCACCACCACCCCGCCCCCATTACTGATAGCCCACATCTCTTTGGACACCAACCCTCCAGCACATGCTGATTTTTCGGGGGCAGGGAGGGGGTCACACCTGGCCATGCTCAGGGGTTCCTCCTGGCTCTTCACTCAGGAATTACTCCTGGCGGTGCTCAGGGAATGGGAATCGAACCCGGGTCGGCCACGTGCAAGGCCAACACCCTCCCCGCTGTGCTATCGCTCCAGCCCCCAGCACACGCTCTTGGGCCTTCACCAAGCGTCTTGGTTTGGAGAACGGAGGAGCATCTGAGCGTGACGAGGCTTCTAGTGGAAACCTGGGTCCCGACCACACTGGGCGAGTCTGGGGGAGCCCACAGGGGAGCCCACGGGGCTGTGCCTCCACTCTGCCACAGACCCTGCCTTCCCCCTTCTCCTGCCCTGGACACTCTCAGCTGACAGGAGCGGAGGACACAGCCCAGGGGCTGGGGTCAACCCAGAAGAGTGTCATTCCCAACTCAAACCCCACAGACCTTCGAGTCAGTCAGCCCTAGGGCCTCAGATATAAGGTGGGGTTCCAAGAAACTGGAGTGGGGGGGGTCTGGAGCAATAGCACAGTGCCTTGCGCGCGACCAACCCGGGTTCGATTCAAGCATCCCATAGGGTCCCCGGAGCACCGCCAGGAGTAATTCCTGAGTGTGTGAGCCAGGAGGAATCCCTGTGCATCACTGGGTGTGACCCAAAAGCAAAAAAAAAAGAAAGAAAAGAAGAAAGGAAGGAAGGAAGGAAGGAAGGAAGAAAGAAAGAAAGAAAGAAAGAAAGAAAGAAAGAAAGAAAGAAAAAACTGGGGTAGGGGCATCAGAGGGACACAGATGGGGGAGGGTAGGAAGCTGTTGTTGGCTGCAGAGGGTCCAGCTGGTGGGGCTCAGGGGGCAAAGGCTTCATCTCCAAAGGCCAGGATGGGGGTTTAGCGATAGCACAGCGGGCGGGGTTTGCTCTGCACGCAGTGGGCCAGGGTTCAATCCCCAGCTTCCCCTCTGGTGCCCTAAGCCCCACCCGGAGTAATTCCTGAATGCAGAGCCAGACCCCCTGAACACTCCCGGGCGTGGGCCCCAAACAAACAAACAAACAAAAACCACACAAAGGGCGGGATGTCGTGGGAGCGCGGGATGGCCCCTTCCCCTGGGGTCCAGGGCGCCGCGAGGGTTCTCAGATGATACGTCGGTGCCACCTTCTGGCTGAGCCGAGCCTTGCATCCGGCCCCTCCATCCACCGGCCACGAAAGGACCGTCAGTGAACGGAAGCTTTTCTTTTCCAGAGTGGCTGGACCCCTGAGAGCTGGTAGGACCCTGGGCCTTCACCCCAGATTGTAAGGGGACACACAGGCCACAGAGGCAGTCGCTGACTCAGCTCCGTTTAGAATCCAGAATCCTGCTCCCAGAGGGAAGACCCTCTCTGGCAGGGACCCGACTATTTACAGAAGCCCACCGCCGCCGACTCGGGCAGGGTCCCGCTGACCCCAGGGGGGCCACTGCCCGCCAGGAGCAGGCTGTGGCCCGCACTGGCCGCAGGTGTTTTATTCCGAAACTGATCCCAGGCAGGACGGGAACGGAGGGTGAGCGCGACCGTTCAGAAGGCGAGCACAGATCTTTATTCCCAGCGAGCTGGCACTTCTGGGGACTGTCCCCAGCACACCTGCCACACACGCGGCCTCAAGACCAAGTGCCTGCCGAGGCAAGCGACGGGAAATACTGCTCGTGTCCAAACACAAATGCCGCGAGTGGCTGTTCTCCGGCTGACCCCCGATCCTGCCCTAGGTCTCGATCAACTCTGTAGCTCGTTCGTGAGGCAAACCCTTTGGTTTTTATTTTTTAGTATTGGGGCCACACCTGACTCTGCTCAGGGATCGCTCCTGGCTCTGTGCACAGAGATCATTTCCTAAAGGGTTTTAAGGGACCCCGTGGGGGGCCAGGGAGGGAACTTGGGTCAGCCACATACAAGGAAGGCACCTTAGCCCAGTGCTACCTCTCTGGCATCCAGGCAGAAAACCAACTCGGTTTGGTTTGATTTGGGGCCACAGCTTGTGATGCTCAGGGCTGACTCCTGGATCTGAACTCAGGGATCTCTCCTGGTGGTGCTCGGGGATCCATATGGGATTCAGGAGATTAAATCAGGCTCCAGCGTGTGCAAGACAAACACTGTTCTATCACTCCAGCCCCCAGAGAGCACACTCTTGCTCCCTCACGGACCCACCGGTCCAGACTGACTCTCACTGGCGCTAGCCGTAGGGTTTTGAACCTCTTCTGGGAGGCTCCGATCCACGAAAAAGGCGAAGAATCTCCAATGTGGCATCGATCACCTCCCGGCCGCCTCGAGACCACAGGTGTGCAAGTATCCTCTGCACTGGCCCCAGGAAAGCGGAGATGCTAAGAGGAAAGAGGGAAGCCACCACCCCGCCCCATCCCCCCCACGTCCCAGGAGCGTTCCGGTGGGTCTTGCCTCTCTGAGAGTGACATACCGGGATTCTCGGTAGCTGAGCGCCCCCGTCCCCTCCCCTAATCACCACTTTGCTCCACTTTCCACAGCAAATGTCTCCACCTGGTGCATCCCAATGCTTCTGGAAGCTCCGCTGGGAAGCCTGCCAAGCCAGGTGTTCCATCTGAGTCCCCAGATGCCCTCTTGGCCTCGGTGGGGCGGGGGGCAAACCCTCTCTCGACATCCACCCTCCTGCCACAGGACACAGGGCGGAAGCTCAAAGCCGGTTCTTAAAGGGGCGAAGTCGGCGCAGATGCCTGGGGTGGGACGGCAGGAACCCACCTTGGCGCCCGGCCTCACGGGCCCTGGGGCTCCTGGTCCTGCCGCCTCCCGCCCACCGCCCCTCTTCCCCTCTGCTCCACTCCATCTGCCGCTCCTCCTGGCTGGTCTCCCCCTCAGTTGGCACAGCAGGAAAAGAGAACAGGATGGTTTATTTTTATCCGGAGACGCTGCCGCGGGGCGGAGGAAGGGCACCATCTGACCGTGAGCAGCTTCTGAAACAGTTGGGAGGTCAGAAGGCGGCAGGACTCCCCCCTCCCACCCACCCACCCAGGAGCTCAGGTGTGGGTTCCAGAGAGCCGCCAGGGCTGGGAGACGCAGGAGCACCCCACCCCTCCTCGCTGCTGTGTGACCACGGGCAAGCCCCTTGCCCTCTCTGGACCTCCTTCCCCCACTCCGTTAAGGAGAGGAGGGTCCCAAGCCCACCCCGGGCCGCCTCCAAGGAGGAGCATGTTTTAGAAACATAAAGAGCAGACGGAGAAGGTGGGGGGGCGCAGCCCACAGACGTTCCTATTTATCCTCGGAAGACGCCCGAACTACGCGCGTGTTACGCCCGGGAGCAAGTTAAGCGGCTCATGTCACCTCGCGTGTCCGCCCCCGGCTTGCTTTTTTACATGTTTGGTGGCTTTTTAATTACATAATCATCCTGTGACTCCACTCTCCTTCTGCGGGAAGAGGAATGAGGCGCTCGGGAAAGTCAGACCTTTCCCGGGGTTGGGCACTTTCTCGAGATCCTTCCAGAACCTTCCTTTGACCCACATCTCCAACACCACCGTGCAGGGCAAGCGGTCGGTGTTTGGGGGGGTCTGTGCTTCCAAGGAGTCTCTGCACCCACCCGGCAGCCGGCGGCCCACGGTTCACCCCACCCCGCACACCCCCACCATGGCAGCCTTGGAGATCTCAGAGATCTCGTATAAATAGACCCGCTTTATTCACCCCGGGGGTGGACGGGCGCCGTCACTTCCAAGGACTGTGTCACCCGCAGTGCTGCCAGGGCCCTCTGCTGTCTGGCTCTTGTCCCTGCAGCCGTCCCTGGCACAGAGCTGTTGGCACGGAGGCCTTGGCGGGTGTGTGACTCCATCCACCCCCCTCCCTAAAAAAATAAATAAGGTTCTGCCTCCTGTTTTCAAAGCAAGTCGGGAGCATGAGTGGGCTCTGGAGCTCCAGGCTTGTGGGGTGCTGTGTGCCAGGGGGTGGGGGACCCGTCCAGTGGCTGGGCTGCCCACCACCCGCCCCCCGCGGCCTCACACCCTCTCCTGCACAGAGACGCGGCTCTCTTTGCCGTCCTCCTGGGCGACAGGCTGGCACCCGAGTAGCGTCTCTTGCACCGGGGAAAAGTCCTCCTCCCACTCTTCCGGCTGGGGGGTCCGCAAATCTTGAAGCTTGGTGCCCTGGGGAGACGAGACGCTGGGGTCAGCCCAGCTGCACTCCGAGGTGCCCTTCCCACCCCACCACCCTTCCCCACCCCCCCCCACCCCCCCACCGCCAGCTCCTTCCCCATTCCCAGACGCAGGGCCTGGGGATGGGACGGGCGCCTCCTGCCCCCTGCTGGCCATGCCGGAAGTCAACACGGCTTCCAGAGCCGGAGTCCAAGGAATGGACACAGTAGCCAGACCCCGCGGGAAGTGCAAACCAATCAGACTCCGCCAACACGCAGGGCAAAGGCAGGAGATGATGAGGGCGGATGTGACAGTCCGGTCCTCCATGGCCAGATGTGGACCCCAGGTCAGACCCCCCAAACCAGGGTCCCCACAGTGCAGGCAATAAGAAGACCCTCTTTCCAGCTTGCCCATGCTGTCCGGTTCTGGGGGGACCTACCTCTTCCGGCTTCTTTTTGCTCCACTTCCCTAGAGAGAGGGTGAGGGGACCCGGGTCAAGGGTGGGTACGGCTCTCCAGGTCCCTCCCACCCTCTGCCGCCCCTCCCCAGCTAGCACTCACAGACATAGGCAGACAGCAGCAGGGCCGCGCACAAGACGGCCAGCACGATGGGGAGCGCCACCAGCATCCTCGTCCGGTCCTGGACACCTGCAGGAGCAGACAACTCCAGATGGCCGCCCGCCCCAGCCCCGGAGGCCACCTGCCCTGGCTGGGCCCAAGATCCTTCCAAGTCTCGGCCAACCTTCCCAAGAATGGGCCCAGCAGTGCTCAGGAGCAACCCAACTTGCTGCTCAGGGATTGCTCCCTGCGGTGCTCGGGGAACCGTATGTGGTGCTGGGATCCAAGCCAGCTGTGTGCAAGGCCAGCACCTTACCACACACACACACACACACACACACACACACACACACACAGAGCCAACATTTAAAATTCAAAAGATTGGGCCATAAAGAAAGTACAAGCGGGGCTGGAGCGATAGCACAGCGGGGAGGGCAGTTGCCTTGCATGCAACCGACCCGGGTTCGATTCCCGGCATCCCATATGGTGCCCTGACACCACCAGGAGTAACCCCTGAGCATCGCTGGGTGTGATCCGAAAAGCAAAGTACAAGAAGCGATTTGCCTTCACACACTCCACCCAGGTTTGATCCCCGGCACCACAAACGGTCCCCCAGAGCCCCACCAGGAGCGATTCCTGAGCACAGAGCAAAGGGCAAGCCCTGAGCACCACCAGGCATGAATGCCACACCCCCAAACAGAGTTAAAATGTTGATATTTTGATGTTTTGTTCACTGCGGATTTTACATTAATTTTGAATTGCTTCAAAGCTTAGATCAAAATGTTCTTTGTCTTGAATTTTTATCTTGTAGCTACACTTTGCCTGGTGACCCCTTCGAGGTGCCCAAACAGAGGGATCACTCTCCTCCCTCCAGCCCTCGCCCTCACGAGGAGAGGAGCCGGGGTTACAGTCCTGGCTTCGGTCCCCCACATGGCCCCTGAGCCTAGTGCGGCCTGAGCCCCACAGCCTGGCCTTAGCGGTCCCCGGCACCACAGGGCCAAGGCAGACCCCCATCCTGGCGCCCCCACACGGACCCACCAGCCTGGTGGTAAAGTATTACCAGGACTGGCCCCAGACCTCTCAGCCGGCTCAAAGGAAGGGAGGAAGGGAGGGAGGGGAAGAAAGAAAGAGGGAGAAAGAAAGAAAGAGAGAGAGAGAGAGAGAGAGAGAGAAAGAAAGAAAGAAAGAAAGAAAGAAAGAAAGAAAGAAGGGAGCAAGGGAGAGAGAGGAAGGGAGGAAGGATGGAAGGAAGGAAGGAAGGAAGGAAGGAAGGAAGGAAGGAAGGAAGGAAGGAAGGGTGTTTCTCGACCCCCAATCGCTCCCCTCCTGCAGCTCTCAGGGAAGACCCCATCAGCTCCCCCTCGGAGCAAAGGCTGAGAATCACCCCTCACCAGCTGCTCCTTGAAAGGCAGGGGGCAGAGGGCCACACAGCGGTCCCCCAAGGCACAGTGCACTCGCATCCCTGCCACCAGGCACTCCCACTCGCCGCCTAAGGAGCTGCTCTGATGAGCCCATTTTACAGATGGAGCGACTGAGGCTCGAAGAGTGCCAGCCACTTGTCTTGGCCACACAGATCCACAGCAGGGCCAAGGTGCCACAGTCCAGAAGACCCCTCTCTCCACCCCCCTCCTCCTTTCCCCAGCTTCTGTGTTCCTGCATGCCTCAGTACCACCCCCCTCCCCCCCACCACCAACACACACACACACACACACACACATGCACACGCATGCACGCACGCACACGAGACTAACCTCCAGACTCACCACAGACAGCGTCTGTCACGTTTGTCCCTGCCCGAAGCTCCACCAGCCCGTGGGTCTGACAGCTGCATCCAGACGCACACACCGACAGGAAGAGACACTGAGTGTCACCGTGAGGGGACATCCAGCCCCCAAGATGGGTCCCGCCAACCAGCAGGCTCAGAAGCGAGAGCCGCGCCCCGCCCCCCATGTGGGTTATAGTGGGAATGACACGGGCTGTTCTGGGGGCGGGGGTCTCGGGGGACAGAGAAAAGTTCGTCGCCTGTCCTGAAGGCGTAACACTAGCGGTTTTGGTGGTGTGCCGAGCTTCATAACAGAGGCTGGTGAAAAACAAGGGCTGCTCTGCAAAATGCATGGGGGCGGGGGGAGGGGCTGGAGCAATAGCACCGTGGGTAGGGCCTTTGCCTTGCCTTGCACGCCGCTGACCCGGGTTCGAGTCCCAGCATCCCATATGGTCCCCCGAGCACTGCCAGGAGTGATTCCTGAGTGCAGAGCCAGGAGTAACCCCTGTGCATCGCCGGGTGTGACCCAAAAAGAAAAGAAAAACCAAAATGCACCAGGGCCAGAAGCTCCCTGAGGGGCGCTGGGGCCCAATTTCCATCTCAGCACTAGGACTAGTTCCAGCTCAGCCCCGGAACTGAACCGGGGTGAGAATACCCTCGACTGCGCATGTAGCGTTTGGCAGCACCCCTGGCCTCTGCCAGCACCGTCCTCCACCCCAGCAGGGACAGCCCATCTGTCCCATGACTTTAGCAAAGAGGCCCTGGAGAGAAACTGGTCAAGGAAGAAATTCCGGGTCAAGGGTCATTCAGAAGCAATTCGGAATAGGCCCCAAGTCTGACCCACGAGGAAGGGTGGGGGGGGCCTCAGTGCCTACCCTGCAGCTCAGCAGGACCATGCGGTGCTGGGGTGGGGGTGGAGGGGGGGTACGGCCTGCCAGGCAGACAGTGACAGTGATGAGGAACTCACTCGGGGGAAGAGATCTGCCAGGGGTGCTGCCTCTTACAGAAGCAGATGACCAATAAGTCGGCAGGAAGGTTTCCCCTGAGCTCGGCTGTGAGTCCGTGTCCTCCAAGTCTAGTGTGTATATATATATATATATATATATATATATATATATATATTGCTTTGGGGGCCACACCCGGCGATGCTCAGGGGTCATTCCTGGCTCTGCACTCAGGAATCACTCCTGGCAGTGCTTGGGGGGGCCATATGGGATGCTGGGAATCAAACCCAGGTCAGCCGCGTGCAAGGCAAACGCCCTCCCTGCTGTGCTATCGCTCGGTCCCAAAGCCGAGATTTTAAGTGCTGAGAAACCTCCACAGACAGAGGGATCAGGGGAGGAGGACTCAGCGGTGGGCGGCCGGCAAACCCTGGCGGGACTGGAAATCTGAGAGGCCGAAGCCCAGGGGCCCCAGAGGGTCCCAGGAAGGACCCGGCTCTTGCAGAAGCACGAGTCCATCCCCAGTGTCAGAGAGCCTCGGCCTCTTCCTTAAGACTCAGGAGGGGCTGGAGTGATAGCACAGTAGGTAGGGCGCTTGCCTTGCAAGCGGCCGACCTGGGTTTGATCCCCAGCATCCCATATGGTCCCCCGAGCACTGCCAGGAGTAATTCCTCAGTGCATGAGTAGCCAGGAGTAACCCCTGAGCATCGCCGGGTGTGACCCAAAAAGCAAAAAAAAAAAAAAAAAAAAAAAAAAAGACTCAGGAGGTGCCAATGTTTCCCATTCCCCGGTGAGGGCACCCTGGCTTGGAGCACTGACACCTGCCTGCGCCCCGGAGTCTGGGCCCTTTCTTGGCTGCAGGAAGACCAGAAGCTAGGGATCTGTGTGAAGGCCCCTCTGGAGCCCAATCGCGTTTATTAGTAAGGATTTACTAGATAAAGTCACAACACAGCTGGCACAGCTGGAGATAGAAGGGGAGGAAAAACAAAAGATGGAGTCTACGTGTCAGGAGCTGCCGGGTAACTGGGGAAAGGCAGACAGAAAACCAAGAAGAGGCCGACAGGACAGCAGGGAGCGATAGCACAGCAGGGAGGGTGTTTGCCTTGCACGCAGCCGACCCGGGTTCAAGCCCCGGCATCGTCCCCCCAGCACTGCCAGGAGAGATTTCTGAGTGCAGAGCCAGGAGTAAGTCTGAGCATCGCCAGGTGTGACCCAAAAAGTCAAAAAACAAAAGAAAAAGAAAACCAAGCGGGTGCTACCTTCTGTGTTTGCCGGCACAGAAGCCCAGCAGGGGGACCCAAGGACACAGTGGCGGCCTCTGGGAGGACGGGGTGGCAGAGGGAGGTGACAAGGACACCCGTCAGCATAGGCCCTTTGCGTCTTCCTGACCACCTGCCCGTCTGACCCTTGTTTCATTTGGGGGTCTCTGAAGTAGGTGCTCAGGGATGGGCCCGTAGGATGGGCCGAGCCTGTGTGCTGAGCGGACACTCTGGGAGTACAGGGAGAGGGCTCCAGGCCACACTGAGCGCTGCCTTAAGGGCCACCCGAGCTGGACATCCAGCTGTGCTGGGCCTCTGTGCTATCCCTCAGGCCCCTTACAACTTAATTCAGTGCAAAAAGTTACTGGGTTGTTTCAGGGTCTTGGAGGCAGAAGAGTTTGATGGGACAGAATGAGCTGAGTGGATGGTGCGGCTGGAACGCCAAGGGAGGGAGAGGCAGGAGGCAGAGCCGGAGGCCAGTGCTGCGGGGTCCGTGCTGCCTGCAGCCTCCAGCCGACAGAGGGCCTCGCAGACCAGGAGGAGGTGGGGGGGGGAGCCAGAGGAGAGTGGGCGAGGACAGAGGAGGACGTGGGGGAAGACGAGGGGAAGGACCATGGGGATAGCCAAGGGCCACGGAGAGGCCATGGGGAGGATAAGGAGGGCTACGGGAGCACTATAAGGAGGATCACGGGGAGAGTCACAGGGAGGACGATAAGGAAAGTCATGGGGAGGACCATGGGGAGGGCCAGTGGCGGGAGCCAGGGCTGTGGCTGTGGCTGAGATGGGCCAGTGACCAAACAGGAAGCCCAGCAAAGCGCGGGGAAGGGGGGGGGGGAGGGGGGAGGGGAAAAGGGAGGGGGGGGAGGGGGAGCAGTGAGAGTCCCAGGAAGCAGGAGAGACACAGAGACACGCCGAGGTCACGACCACCAGAGGAGCAGCAGGCGCACTGGCTGGTGTGTGTGTGTGTGTGTGCGCGCACGCGCATGCATGTGGTATATGTGTGTGTGCGTGTGTCTGTGTGGTGTGTGTGTGCATGTGTGTGCATGTGTGTGCGTGTGTGTGTGCATGTCTGTGTGGTGTGTGTGCGTGTCTGTGTGGTGTGTGTGAGGTATATGTGTGTGTGTTTGTGTGGTGTGTGGTGTGTGTGTGGTATATGTGTGTGCATGTGTGTGTGGTGTGTGTGCGTGTGTGTGCGCGTGTCTGTGTGGTGTGTGTGTGGTAAATGTGTGTGTGTGTGTGTGTGTGTGTGTGTGTAGGGAGGGGCTAGCTGTGGGGGGGAGACAGCTGCAGAGAGCAGAGAGGCTGATCCCACAGGAACAGAGACCCGATACCTTCTCCACGGGCGACACTTGTCCAAAGCAGACGACACATTGGAGAAGAAGCCGCTGGGACAGGCTTCACAGACGGTATCCCGCGTCCCAGTAGCTGGGAAGGAAGGAGGGGACATTGGGGGACATTAGCTCTCCAGGGGACCTGGTGGCCAGGCGGAGCTGAAAGGGCTTCCTGCCTTCAGTACGCGTCCTCTGCAGAGCGCCCCCCAAGTGCCGGGGTCCCTGGGAAGGCGTCTCTCCTCCACCCCAGCCCCTTAAGGCAGCGACCCTGAGGCTTCTCCTGCTCACTCCAGCGAATGCCCATGGTGGGTGCCATCCTCCCCTCCGTCCCTCTCCTGCCCCCGGGCTGTCCCAGGCCGGTCACTTACCCATCTGCTTGACCCCAGAGCCCGGGGCACACGGGCTGTGAGTCACACAGCTTTCGCAGGCCTCGCTGGTACAGTGCTGGCCTTCGACACATGCGCAGGTGGTGTCCGTTTCCGGCGTCCCCTCCCTCAGGACCCGGAGCCCTAGGTCTGAGCAGAGGCAGGCAGGGAAGCTGGGACACGCGAGGGGGAGGGGAGGGCGCCACTCGAGACCCCGTTCCTCACCCCCTTCCTGCCCACCGCCTCTTAGCCTCCCCGGCCCCGCGAGGCCACGGGCACCCGCAGGACCGCCCCAACTCCAATCAGAGGAGTCCCCGGCTGAAACCAGAACACGAAAAGGTGACGTGGACCCCACAGCCCAGCTCCCGAGCACACACTGTGGTCACAGTAGCGGTGCTGGTGACAGCGGGTCTCTCTGTTCCAAGCGCTCAGGAATTCATCTCGCCCGCAAGAAACACATTCGGTGTCGGCTGCCTCCAAGCAGTCCTTCACCAGCTTCTTTCCTGGAAAACGTGAGGAAATGAGGCCACTCCGGCGCGCCTGTGAGTCAGACGTTTCCTGCAAACGCTTCAGCCGGGGCTGCCGGCAGGAGACACTGAGATGACCATTTCGCCTTCCTGCCTTCCCAGCCCGCAAAGAGGATCAGAGGCCTGGTGAGGCAGAGGGAACCCGGCATTTTTCGGCCCCAGGGGGTCGTAGTCCAGACTCAAGTTCACAGTGGACACATGAGAGAGGGAAGGGGGCTCAGCGTCAGCCAGTCAAACCCTGAGAGGCGGATCAGTGTCTCACCTGGCTGGCACAAATCACAGCACCGACCGTCTATCAGGTACTGGTTCTCTTTGCACGCAGTGAGAGGTTCTGGGTGAACCTGAAAACAGAATTGGGTGGCGTGAAGGGAGCCGAACATCTCTGCTTGAGCCTGCTGGTTGGGACAGGGGCTCCAATTGAAATGGGGGGAGGGCTGGAGCGATAGCACAGAGGGGAGGGCGTTTGCCTTGCATTCAACTGACCCAGGTTAATCCCCGGCATCGCATAGGGTCCCCCAAGCACCACCAGGAGTGAATCCTGGGCCCAGAGCCAGGAGTAACCCCTGAGCATCGCTAGGTTGTGACCCAAAAAGAAAAAAAAAAGTTAAATGGAAATCCAAGGCAGAAAGACAGCACCTGCACATGACTCGGTGTGTTTGTTATAACCAAACTGCCAATGATGGCATCAAAAAACCAACCACAAAACCAGAGGATCATCACTCTGTTGTTTTACAAAGGGATTGTTCTGGCCCCTGGAGCACCCACAAGGGTCACGCCTGAGCACGGAACTAGGAATAGGCCCTGAGCGTGCCAGGGTGTGGCCCAAACCCCTACACACACACACACACACACACACACACACACACACACACACACAGGGACTGCTCTGGAATCCGCGCTAAACAGATCTCCCTTTTGGCTCTCCTCCGAAGCCTTTCCTCTTCCCAGAGACCCGGGTGCGCGTGAGGACTCATTCTGTCCAGGCGGGCTTCAGCTGGCCCCAGTCCTAGATGGGCTATATTTAGCACCACCTCTTCCTTCTATTCTTCTGCTCCCCCCTCCCTCCCCTTCCCTGAGCCTCATCACGTTTGCTCCCTCCAGATCCCTTCGTCTGACCCCCCCTCACAAAATACCAGCCTGGGGAAGCCAGGAGGGTGAAGTCTAACTCCCCCCCCCCACCCTTTACGAATGATGCCAACGAGACAAAGAAACAGGGTGGCAGAGCTTAGACCTGCCTAAGATCAACCAAAAAAAATTGGTCTCGGGGCTGGAGCAACAGCAACAGCACAGCAGGGAGGGCGTTTGCCTTGCCCACGGCAAACCTGGGTTCGATCCCCAGCATCCCATAGGGTCCTCTGAGCGCCGCCAGGAGTCATTCCTGAGTGCAGAGCCAGGAGTAGCCCCTGAGCATCGCCGGGTGTGACCCAAAAAGCTAAAACAGTAATAATAATAATCGATCTCGAACATGATTGCCACTCAATGCCTCTTTTGAAAACCACAACACCCAAGAGGAGAGAGAGAAAAGGGAATGCCCTGCCACAGAGACAGGGTGGGATGGGGGGGATGGGGGTGGGAGGGATGCTGGGATCCATGGTGGTGGAAAATGGGCACTGGTGGAGAGATGGGTGTTTGATCATTGTATAATCGAAACCCCAGCACAAAAATTTGTAAGTCTACAACTGAACCTCATGGTGTTTCACTAATAAAAATTTAAAAATATATATACGCAACAATAAAATGAACTTAATATACAAAAAATAGTAATAATCGATCTCAACATCCTTCGCTCTGTCAACTTGACTATCACTTGCACTACTTTGTTGTGTTTTGTTTTGCTCTGTTTGGGGGGCCACACCCAGAGATGCTCAGGGGTTACTCCTGATGGTGTTCAGAGACCCTCTAAGGTGCCAGGGATTGAACCCAAGACAGCTGCATGTAGGGCAAGTGCCCTTCCAGCTGGATTATCTCTCCAGCCTCCCGTCTGCGCTAATTTTACTACTTCAGATACTACCCATCACTTAAATATGACTTTTTGCTCATGTTTAAGCTCTTTTCTTTTCTTTCTTTTTTTTTCTTTTTTTTTTTTTTGCTGTGCTGGGGATTGAATCGCATGCATGCAAGGCTGCAAGGCCTGCACTAAGCCGCTGAGACATGCTCATTTTCAACCTCAGCCCAAGTCACGGCTGCGTGAGAAAAGCAGTATCACTTCTCATTAATAAGAGGCAACTTCAAAAATAAATTAGAAACAAAGCAAAGGTATTAACCCCTCCACTGGTCGTTTCGCTCACTGAAGGGCCATCTCAGCCCTGCTCTCGACTTTCGTTTTTAAAAGATGGGGTGGAGGGGGCTGGAGGGATAGCACAGAGGGGAGGGCATTTTCCTTGCACGCAGCTGACCCGGGTTCGATTCCCAGCATCCCATAGGGTCCCCTAAGCACCGCCAGGAGTAGGAGGAACCCCTGTGCATCGCTGGGTGTGACCCAAAAAGAAAAAAAGACGGGGTGCAGAGGAGTAGAGTGATAGGATCGCTATATGCCTAGCATATGGTCCAGCTGCGTCTGATTCCCTGGCCACTCTGTGGTTCCCTGGGCCCCATCAGGAGTGATTCCTGAGTGCAGAGCCAGGAGTGAGCCCTGAGCACCGTCAGGAGTCCAAGATCAAACAAACAAAAACCAGTTAGGGACTCAAAGGACCAGAGCACGTGCTTTACATGTGAGACCCTGGTTTGGATTTCTGGTAGCACATGGTCCCCCAAGGACCCAGCACGAAGTAGCACACCCTCCCCCAGTGCTCTGGGTATGGCTCCAACACCAAAGTTAATTTAATTTAAAAGGGAGGATTAGGGGACCAGGAGTATGGCATGTGCAAAGGCTTGGTCCCTGGCGCCACCAGGTGTAGGCCTGATGACTCCTACGGTCCATTTATTAAAAAATAAATAAAAGGATTAGTGAGCCCTGGAGAGGCATTTGCTGTGTATTCTAGGACCAGAGACTTTTTCCTATCCCCGCCCCAAGGGACCCAGCCCCGGCAGCTGAAAACCCCCAGAACTCAATCGCCGCCATGCTCACGGCAGCTCCCCACACGCTTGGGCCAAGCCTCACCCATGAGTGAACCTATTCCTGGACACACTTCACACCACACACCCCACCCATACTCCAAGAGTACCGCACCACATTTGATGGGGTTCAAAGTAGAGTGGGAGGGAAGTTTTTTTTACAAATATATATATATATATATATATATATATGTGCACACAAGGCTCAATTTCTAACAACCTGTTAGTGATCTCCTATACCATATCTCCTATATCTCTTATCTCTTAATGGCCCCTGTGTGGAATACAACACCCCTCACCCTTTTCCTCTAAGGATACCTTTTTGTAGCATTTTCAGTGGTTTTTCATAACAAACAATACAAAACATATAATTTCGGTTCCACTTTGGGGCAGAGATTGGGGTTTGGGGTGGAAACACCCAAAGTATGGTGGTGTAATGGTAGTGGGATTGGTGTTTGAACATTAAATGTAATAAAATATTGTGAACTACTTTATAAAATAAAAAAATTATTTAAAAAAATGAGAAGGATTTTCCCAAGAACTGCAGAGTGAATGGGTGTCACCATACATACCCTGTGCTCCCTAAGGTCACCCAAACTGGGCAGAGCACAGGTCCGAGAGTCCAACAAGACGACAGCCTGGCCTTCAGACCCCAGCCTGGTTCCTTCATCTCTCCTACCCTCAGTTCCGCACCTCCACACCGGGAGAGCTACTGCCCGCTTTGCTGTGAAGATGGGAAGACGAGCCGGTGTGTCTAGACAGTGTCGGCTGCAGCAGCAGCAACACCAGCCCGCCTGTGAGGAACGGGCTGCCCGCTTCCTGCCCACGGAGGCCTCTCATGTGGTCCGGAGGGCAAAGCACGGAGTGATCTTACCCCAGAGGGCAAAGAAACAGAAAAAGTTGCCACGCACATACACACACACATACATGCACACACGCACAATCACACGCACACACTCACACACATGCACACACGCTCACAACTGCATGCGCACACACATACACACCTGCACAATCATGCATACACACATGCACGTACACACCTGCGTGCATACTCGCTTGTACAAATATGCACAAAACACTCACACATGCACACACACGCACACGCACACACACACACAGCACATCAATGCACTCCACCCCCTTCAACCTTCTCCCTGCAATCCTGTGCATTGTCCCACAAACACAAAGGTCCTGCTCCCACTCCAAGCTCCGGTCCTTCCAATCCATGCCGAGGGGCTCTGAACCCAGGAGACTGTCACCCTCCAAGAAGCCAGCTCAGGAATCGGGCAGATAGAGATTTGTTTAGGCTCCACCCGACAGGGAGCCCTATGGGAAGGCATTTCCCTCTGAGCCTCAGTTTGCTCTTCTGTGTAATGGGGGAGGCGAGAGAAAGCTGACCTAAACACATAAGGCAGACCAAGAACACACATGATGCCTAGGAGCTCTCCATAAATAGCCCCGTTTCAGTCCAGTCACACTGCCCCCATCCCTACCTGGAGTCGAAATTAGAGGTATGTGCCTGGGAAGCCTCCTCTGGCCTGCAGGACAGCTCCCGGCTCTGCCCACCCCTTCCCACAAGGGCCCTCTTCTCCCACCGCGACTCCACCCTCTTCCTGCCTCCCTTCTCCCGGAGACCAGTTGCCTAGAGTGAAAATGAAAGCTCTGGGCGCCCGCCGCCTCCCTATGGCTGTTGACTCCACACACATCCCGGGACAGGCCATTCCGGTTCAAACTCCACTGAGAAGGTGCAGCCCCAGAAAGGAGGGGGAGGCAGGCAGGCAGGTACAGGGGGTTCCCATCCTCCAGAATGAGGAACTACAAGAATACATTTCAGCAAAAAGTGAGTCAAGAGTGAGCTTCTGAAAATCCCGGAGACACGCTCGGTGGAGCATATCTGGGTCCTGCTGGTGCCGGAGATACCCTAGCTGGTCCCCTCTCCTTCCCAGCCTTCCACCCACTGTTCACGTCCCCCGGGGGCTTCCCTGAGGCACAGACACAGCCTTGGGGATTCCTCTGCTGGCTCATCAAAGATCCGGGGGCAGATGGGGTGCTCAAAGTCCCCCCTGTCTTCCCAGAGAAGCACCTGCGACTCTGCACCCACTCCTTGTCACCACGTGATGCGCTGTAAGAAAGGGAAACCCGGCCGGCAGAGAGATGGATGATAATCGGCCCAGAGGCAGGCTGCGTGCTCAGTGGGAAAGAGACAGGAAACCCTCCAGCCCCAGCCTTGCCTGGCCCGGCCTCTCCCCACTCCCGGGAGTCCAGCACTGGCCAGAAGTCAAGCAAACTCGCTCTCCAAACTCACCCACAGAAGGCTCGGGGTTCCCTACACTCCAGCCCCACGGGTGCCCACTGGGCACGTTTCCCCCACTGCAGTCCCCACCTGGAAGGAAGGAGGGTCTCCTTGGCCCGGGCCCTGGGTTACCCAGTTCCACCCCCTTTCTCGCACCCCACTCCAAATCAGCTAGGGAGGAGAGCATCCCTTCGCCCCAAGTCGGACTGCTCTTCCCACTCCCTGCCCTCAAGTCCCCAACTTTCCCCATCGGGTCAGGGCAGCAACAACTCACGGCGGTCAGCAGGCAGCCCCAGAAGAGACCCTGCAGCGGCAGACGGACCATGGCGAGGTGGGAAGCGCGCGCGGGAGCAGAGCGCGTGGGAGCCGCCGCCACTCACTCAGCCGCCCCGGGCCTGGCCCGCCCGGGAAAGGGGCGTGGCCTCCAGGAACCAATCGCAGCCCGGCCCGCTTGGGGGCGGGGCTCCGGCCGCCCTGGGCTCCGGGGATTCCCCCAGGACCCTCCCGGGGCGTCTGATTCTCCCCTGGGAAGTTTAGGGGACGCGCTCCAAGGGGAAAGCCCTTCCTCCTCCGCCTCCCTGGGACTGGGGAAGCCACGCTGAAGGAAGCGACGAGGCGACCCGCTTCCCGAATGGGGGGCGAAGGGAAGGAGCAGAGACCCGCGAGGGTGCTGGGACGCACCCCCAAGACGTCCACTTTTCTCGGCCCCCCCCCCGCCGCCTCCGGGAACCCCAGCAGAACCGAAAACGCCCCCACCGAGGATGGGGAGGCCTAAGGAAGTTCCCCGCACCTCAGAAAAAGGGAAGGCCGCCTTTGAGTTAGGGAGGGAGGAGAGATCTGGGAAGACATTTCAAGAAAAAGGCTTCTGGGCTCATTTTCACTCTTTCAAAAGAAATACCCTCCAGTAGATGCTGCGCGCCAGACCCTCCCCCCATCCATCTGCCCCTCCCATTCATCAGCTCCAGCCATCCTCCTATCCTTCTGTCCATCCATCCACCCATCTACCCACCATTCCATTCATCCATCCATCCATCCATCCACCCACCATTCTATCCATCCATCCACCCACCCACCCACCCATCCACCTATCCACCCATCCATCCATCCACCCACCTACCCATCCACCCATCCACCCATCCATCAATCTACCCACCCATCCATCCATCCATCCATCATCCATCCATCCATCCATCCATCCATTCATCCACCCACCCACCCACCCACCCATCCATCCATCCATCCATCCACCCACCCACCCATCCATCCACCCACCCACCCACCCATCCATCCATCCACCCATCCACCCATCCATCCATCTACCCATCCATCCATCCACCCACTCATCCATCCATCCATCTATCTTCCTATCCATCCGCTCATCCATCTGTCCATCCATGCAGCTGCGACTTTCCATCAGATTCTGCTCTGTCTCAGTTCCCATCCAGTGCCTGGACAGAGAAACTCAGAGCACAGCAGCCTTTGTGGGAGCTGGTCCTAGGACCCCCTGAGAATCTTGAGAGACTGGACACCCTCCCATCCCACTGAACGGCGCACACATTTCCGTGCTTCAGGTCTACCAGGGTTCTCGAAAGCCAAGTCAGCACTCTGTGGTGCCCCTGCTCCCAACACCTGTGTCCCCAGCCAGGCTCTGCCTGGGCTCCCTTAAGCTGCAGTATTCCACCCATGAAACCCCAGTGACTCGAACTACAACATGGTGGGAGTGAAAATTCCCACCTCTGAATTGCTGTAGCGATAGCACAGCGGGTAGGGCGTCTGCCTTGCACGCAGCCAACATGGCCGACCCGAGTTCGATTCCTCCGCCCCTCCCGGAGAGCCCGGCAAGCTACCGAGAGTATTCGATATGCCAGACACAGCAACAACGAAGTCTCCAATGGAGACGTTACTGGGCCCACTCGAGCAAATCGATGATCAACGGGAGGGCCTTTACTTTACTTTTACTTTTTACTGAATTGCTGTAGTCAGTCAAAAGGCCAAGCTGACGGGGAGAGGACAGGGGAAACCCGCCCTCCTGGTTTCGGCTGCTAGAGCATTCTGCAGTCTGGTGGAGTTTCTCTGGGAACCATTCCCTTTGCCATCGCCTCCCCGGTGACTCTAAATTCAGAGGTTCCCATTCCTTCTCTGAGCTGCCCTAGCTCCTCTCCCTCTCTGCCCCCACCTCTTTCCTTGCAGTTCTCTTTGTAAACCCTAGATCTGATCTGCTCAGGGCACTTTCTTGCTTAAAAATCTCTTTGAGGGCTGGAGCGATAGCACAGTGGGTAGGGCGTTTGCCTTGCACGCGGCCAACCCAGGTTCGATTCCCAGCATCCCATAGGGTCCCCTGAGCACCGCCAGGAGTAATTCCTGAGTGCAGAGCCAGGAGTAACCCCTGTGCATTGCTGGGTGTGACCCCAAAAAAAATCTCTTTGAGGGGCCAGAGCAATAGTCCAGAGAGTAGGGCATTTGCCTTGCATGCAGGCGACCCGGGCTCAATCTCCAGCATCCCATATAGTCCCTGAGCACCAGTAGGAGTAATTCCTGAGGGCAGAGCCAGGAGTAACCCCTGAGCATCACCGAATATATCTCCACAAAAAAAAAAAAAAAACCCAACCAAGGAAAAAAGAGAAGGAAAAAAAAACTTCTTTGAGGGCTGGAGAGATAGACCAGCAGGTTGGGAACTCGCTTTGCTGCAACTGATCCCCTTGCCAGCCCGGACACCACCAGAAGTGATCAATGAGCCGAGCCAGGAACACAGGTGTGGACCCCCAAACAAACTCTTGGGGTTCCTCTCAGGATGTTCAGGGTGAGCAAACCTTGGTGGGCTCAGGCCCAGCTCTGTCTCCGTGCACCCTGAATTTTGTGCTGCCCCAGGGAACATTGACGTGGCCACAATCACCTGCTCCCCACTTCCCACACACTCCATCCCTCACTGTCTCCCTGTCTTCCTTCTTCCTTTCCCTTCCATGAAATCAGTTTAAACTCAATCTCCTTTTAGATGGGAGGGGGCGGGGGGAGAGGTCACACCTGATGATGCTCAAGGCTCACTCTTGGCTCTGCACTCAGGAATTATTCCTGGTGGTGCTCAGGGTAACATCTGGGATGCCGGGGATCGCACCTGTGTCAGGTACATGCAAGAGCCTTACCCGCTGTACTATCTCTCCAGCCCTACCAGTCTCTTTTTTTACTTTTTTAACTTTTTTAAAAAATCAGTTAAGTTGGTTTTTTTTGTTGTTTTTTTGGTTTTTTTTTTTTGCTTTTTGGGTCACACCCAGAGATGCTCAGGGGTTACTCCTGACTCTGCACTCAGGAATCACTCCTGGCAGTGCTCGGGGGACCCTATGGGATGCTGGGAATTGAATCCGGGTAGGCCGCGTGCAAAGGAAACTCCCTCCCCACTGTGCTATTGCTCCAGCCCCAAAATCAGTTGAGTTTTTGGACTGAGATGTCTCTGAGCCCCAACTGTTTATAATTTTTAGAATTCCAGAATATTCATATAAGCAATAGAAAATAAATTATCTAGCATCTTCTGGTGGCAGGTAGGCTTGAGTGGTGGTGGGAAAATTCGAAATAATGGTGATAGGAAGGTGTAATGGTGGTGGGGTTGGTGTTGAAATGGTGAATGTAAATAATGTGAACAACCTTATGAGAATAAAATTTAAGAACTTTTTAAGTCGGTTGAGTTTCTGAGATTTACAATACTGTTAATGATAGTTTTCCATGCAAATAATTCTAACACCAAACCACCCCCCTCCCCCAAAGACTCCGACATTGCTCCCTTTCAAACCCCTCCCAAAGGCCTGAGTAAGGGCTCAGGCTGACTGTCCTTTCCTGCAAAGAACAAGGCTCATGGCAGACTCGTATCAGTCCTAGATTCCTGCCTCCCCACCCCCGCTGTTCCTGGATGGCAGAGGAGGATAGAGAGGAAATGGCAGATTCCTTTCTTGAAGCTGCCGCCTCTCCTTCCCCACTTCACACAAGTCACCAGTGACTTATGGCATCACTACAAGCTCATTTGTGTGGATTATTTCTCCCGTTGTGTTGCCTTGGTCCCTTTGTTGCAATACCACGTCTTGGCATTTATCCCCAAAGACAAAAACGTTAATTCAAAAGGAGATATATATATGTATATGTATATATACATATATATGCACACCAAGATTCATCGCATTATTTAGGTTACTAGCCAAGAGATGGAAATAACCCAAAGGCCCAACTACGAATAAGTGGTTCAGAAGGTTGTGGTAGGGAACTGGAGTGATAGCACAGCGCACAGGCATTTGCTTTGCACACGGCAGACCTGGGTTCAATTCCCAGCATCCCATATGGTCCCCCGAGCACCACCAAGAGTAATTCCTGTGTGCAGAGCCAGGAGTAACCCCTGTGCATTGCCGGGTATTACCCAAAAAGCAAAAAAAAAAAAAAAAGTTGTAGAATATATACACCACGGAATACTATGCAGCTCTAAAAAAGAACAAAGTCATATAATTTTGCTGCAGCATGGATGAATCTTGAGAATATTGTGCTGAGTGAAGTCAGAAGAAGAAGGATAGGTACAGAATTATCTCTCTCATATGTGGGTCTTCCAGACACATAGTCTTTCTTTAGTGAAACCTCCTCTTTTCTCTCGAGACTGAGGAAGACTCTGCACCCTCCAAAGCTTCCCCTCTGGTTCCACAGCATTCCTCTGCTGGATTCCCCAGGCCTGGCCCAAGGCACGGTGCAGCTCTTGAAGGCAGGACTGAGTCTCTCCAAGCCCAGGGCACATAGGAGGACACATCTGACAAAAGATAAAATGGGATGTTTGGGTAACTTACGGTTCTCTTCTTCTTGGTCTTTGGACCACACTCAGCGATGCTAATGGTGGCCATTGATGGCGGCGCTCAGGAGACCACACGTGATGCTGGGAATTGATCCTGGGTCAGCTATGTGCAAGGCACCTGCCTTAACCCCTGTACTATCTCTCCCACCCAGTAACTTCTCGTTCTTAGCAGAAACTCCTTTTCACTGGAAGAATAGAGAGAGAGAAAGAGGTACCAGCAGGCCTTCCCAACACCGCCGTGGAGTTGGAGTCAGACCCCAGAAACATTTGAAATCGGGGCATTTCCTGAAAACCACTGAAACATACCCGGGACGAAGTGCATATGAAAACATCTTCCTTCTCCACCCACCTCTGAAAAAAAACAAGCGCCGTCTCCATCCCTCGGGGAGGAGGGGCGAGGCGTGCCGATTATAATTTTGGCCGTTACTTATTCTTTATTTGCCTGATTCCAAAATTGGGCCCTTCACAAAGCTGCCTTGGGAGGCAAGTACACAGAATTAAAACATTAA